GATATATACTTAAAAAAATAATAATTAAGTATTTTGTTAGAAGTCAATAATATTCTAATTATATTTTCGATTTTTTATATTTAAAATAAGTTGTATTTACACATAATTTTTTTATAATCTTAAATTTTAAATAATATACATCAATAAATAATACTTAAAGAATAAAAAATATTTTTTAAATTTTTTTATTAAATGATTTGTAATTTTTGTCAAATGCTTGGAGTCAATATTATTGACACCTTAAGGATTAAGTAAGGGGATGCTACGTACAAACAGACAATGTATAAAAACCATACGTAAGTACAAATCAACAATGCATCAGAAACGTCAAACCCGATTCCTTCATCCTTCACCCCATTTCTATTTCGTTTCCATATTTTTCTTCTGTACTCGGTTCCGAAAAGTAGCCACTGATCTCTCTGTATATCGGCAATGGCGGGAAGATCAGGATCCAAGACGATGATCGTCACAAACACACCGGCCAAAGATCTCGCATATACTAACTGCGCTTATTGTTCCCCTTCCGATGTTCGTCAGTTTCTTCTTCCTGGATCCAATATCGCTCTTGCTCTTGTTGGAGATGTGTTCGTTCTCTCTATAGCATATCCTTCTCATTTTTACATATAAGCGACTATATTATGTGTTGTTTAGAGCAGTTTTTTCGGTAAATTGAAGATTATCGAATTACTTGATGTTTGGTAAATGAAATATTCTTAAATTGGATGATGTGAATGTAATATTCTGGATCGTTATTGTTTTTTTGTTGTCTACTGTGTCTGAACTAGTGTTAGTTATGAATGTATTGCAGTTTTATGCTCTACATGTCTTAAATTTTTGCGATTGCATTCTTCAACCTAGTTTAATACTTCATGATTTTGTAGATCTGCACATGAGGTAAGCATAGAGAAATAAGTGAGGGGGAAATCAAGGAGCAAAATCATCAAGTTATCATGAAGTAGATGATGCTAACTTGATTACTTGCTCCCTGATTTCCCCCTCGCTTCTTTATCTATGCTTATCTATACTCTTGATGTGGAACATCGCAACTACACTATTTGGGTTCTGATAGCATCTACAATGTGTTGGTCCCCTCCGGTAGAATTTATTCTTGATCAAATGTTGGAATTTGTTCAATTACTTCATGCATTCACATATCACAGTTGCAATCGAATGATGTATTTTTATGCATCACTAGCTTTAAGATAACTATTGTTACTTGGTTATTTATATGCCTATGTCAAACATTGAATTACTGTTGTTATAATGTTATATGAGGAAGCACTTTATTGTTTCACTTAACTGAAACAAACTGCCTATGATACCATACAAAGTGGGCAAATTGGGCTTAATGCCATTCAACGACGTCATGCAAGAGTTTCGACTGGAGATCCAGTATCCGTTTGCAGGTCTGTGGTTATACTTGCTCCAGTGTCAGGATTAAGTTTTGTTGCTTTTTTAACCAATCCATTCTGCCGACCGTTTTAGGTTTATTCCACCTGAAGATTTCAATATTGCATTACTTACACTTGAGTTGGAATTTGTGAAGAAAGGAAATAAAGAAGAGCAGGTACCTCTCGTGCTTTTAGCCTAAGCACATGCTTTCTTACGGTCTCTAAACTGTAAATTAACTAATTGCTTTGAGATGCGCATTTCCATTCTTGATTTTGAATTTCATATTTTTGCAGGTTGATGCTGTTCTTTTAGCCCAACAGCTTCGTAAAAGATTTGTTAACCAGGTATGACTGTGTATGTTGTCCATCTTTACAATCGTAATCACAGCAACACACAAGCTGGTACTCTATTAAAGTTAATTGTTTATAAAGCTAAAGAAAATTTATTTGCTGCAGTATGCTAAGCTGGATACAGTGTTACTTCATATGTATTTAGGGATAAAAATGGCACAACCTTTCCCATGTGCAAATTCTATATCACACATCGGAAAGGTTGTGCCATCTTTATCCTTAAATACATATTTAGCAACACTGTAACCAGCTTAGCATATCTTCCGATGTGTATGCTAGATAACAAAGTATACTCTTCCTAATTCCTTCATGTCTAGATATGCTTATCATATCTTACGCTTCTCTATCAGCACTGCTAAAGTTGCACCACATTTACATTTTTCTAGTCTAGAGTAATCTAATACCTCTAGATTCCAAGGCATCTTTTCATTCCTCCAACTTTGGACTACCATTCATTGACATGGTTGACATGCGACCCAGAAATATTAATCCTAAAGACATGATCAGTACATTGATGATTTGCTGATTGCCATTTTATTTGTTGGAGATTTACGTGATGACTTACTTCTATTCAGGTTCTGACTTCAGGCCAACGGGTGACTTTTGAGTATCATGGCAATGGCTTTATCTTCACAGTCACCCAGGTGACTGTGGAAGGGCAGGACAAATCAAACAACATTGAAAGAGGCATGCTAGTATCTGATTCATACATTGTATTTGAAGCATCCAATTCTAGTGGGATAAAGGTATTATTTTTCAAATGGGTAACCTGAAAATACTCGTCGTGTTGACTTTTTTTTGCTATTCTTTGTATTTGTGTTTGTGTTTGTGTTGTTCCCTTCTATTTGTACAAGTTTACTCTCATTTGTGGGATGTGATATGGTGTACTGCAATAAATTGTTTATGTATGCATGTGTAGATTATCAATCAGCGGGAGGCTGCTAGCAGCAACATTTTCAGGCACAAGGAGTTTAACCTTCAATCACTTGGCATAGGTGGCCTAAGCGCTGAATTTGCGGACATTTTTAGAAGAGCATTTGCCTCTAGGGTTTTCCCTCCACATGTGGCAAGCAAGTAATTCCCTATCATTGTGTGAGGCTATATAACATCTGTGAATTATTTATTAATTTCTTTTTGACTCTATCATGGAAATGGGAATCTTTATGCATCAGATTGGGAGTAAAGCACGTCAAGGGAATGCTGCTATTTGGTCCCCCTGGGACTGGGAAGACTCTAATGGCTCGTCAAATTGGAAAGATGTTGAATGGAAGGGATCCAAAGGTACTCTATGCTTGCATTGGGCTTGTATATCATATATCAGATATCCAAAGCATTTTGATGTCGTTTTTAATGTCATTCTCTGTTCTTGATGTGTATCATGGGATTGTGAATCCCCAATAGCATTTAGTGCTGAAGGATGAAATTATTAATATGGTTCTTGGTTCTATCTGTTGCAAGATGCATAACATGATCTTAATTTTTACTTGTGATTGCTTCTAATGATAACTTTTTTGGTTCATTGTGCAAACTAGATTGTAAATGGACCCGAAGTGCTGAGTAAATTTGTTGGTGAAACTGAGAAGAATGTAAGGGACTTATTTGCGGACGCTGAACAAGATCAAAAAACACGAGGTAGGACGAACTTCAGGTTTGAATGTAGACATTAAAACAAATTTGTTTATGCTCTGATGCATTTTTGTTCATAATTTTTTAGGGGATCAAAGTGACTTGCATGTGATCATTTTTGATGAAATTGATGCAATTTGTAAGGTAGATCCATCCGGTACTTCAATAATAGACTTCTTTGCCCATTAAGTCCATTTTCAAGTATTCAGTATAATCTGTTTTTTTGTAAATTCTATTGTAACCCGTGCTTGCGGTTTGCATTTGCAGTCTAGAGGTTCAACTCGAGATGGCACAGGAGTGCACGATAGCATTGTCAACCAACTCCTTACAAAGGTTGGATAAACCATTTAAAAGTCTAAGTATATGATTTACAGAAAAAAGTTTAATTTAGAAGGGATGCTCTACTTTATAAGACACTGAGTTTGGAAATACCTCGTTTTTAGATAGATGGTGTGGAAGCGCTGAACAATGTGTTGCTCATCGGTATGACAAACAGGAAGGATTTGCTTGATGAAGCTCTTTTGAGGTGAGTCCATTATCTCTCTATAAGATCCCACATCGGTTGGGGAGGGGAACAAAGGTTGCCTTATAAGGGACTGGATGCCTCCTCTATTAGACGCGTTTTAAAACCGTGAGTTCAGGTGTGTGCACAAAGCAGATAATATCTTGTACGGTCGGCCTTGTGTTACAAATGGTATCAGAGCTGGGAACTGGACTGGTGTGCTGGGCTCCCAAGGGGGGTGGATTGTAAGATCCCACATCAGTTGAGGAGGGAACAAAGGTTGCCTTATAAGTGACTGGATACCTCCTCTATTAGACGTGTCTTAAAACTGTGATTCCAAGTGTGTGGACAATATCTGGTACGGTTGGCCCGGGATGTTACAATCTCCTAAGGTGTTAATTGTCATTAGCCAGTGTTGGACTTTAACTATGTTTGCTGAGATATTTCTTCTAATGCTTGGGTTAGGCCTGGTCGTTTGGAAGTCCAAGTGGAGATCAGCCTTCCTGATGAGAATGGCCGCTTACAAATTCTCCAGATTCATACAAATAAGATGAAAGAGAATTCTTTTTTAGCTCCAGATGTGAACTTGCAAGAGCTTGGTATGTTGTGGTTTATACTTCAAATTTCTGAAAAATTGCAGTTGATGCATACTCATTACAGTGTTGGGTTCCATGTATAGACAAAGGGTCGTGTGAGAATAGGAGTTAAGATTAGAAGTGTAAGAAGGGATTTGGACCCTTGATCACTTTTAATCCCAAAACAACCCATAAATTGCGCTTTAGAAGGGAATTGATCTAGTGATTCTCATTAGTGTTGATCTAGTGATTCTCTTCAACTAGGATTGATCCAAGGGTGGAGATCCCTTCTTACCCTTCTCACCATAGCTCTCATTCTCATCAGAATCCAACTCTCCATGTATACTTATTGAATTGATAAATAAGCAAATCTAATGCTTTATTCTAATGGAGCACAGCTGCACGAACAAAGAACTACAGTGGAGCAGAACTTGAAGGTGTTGTGAAAAGTGCTGTTTCTTATGCACTGAATCGGCAGCTAAGCCTTGATGATCTTACCAAACCAGTAGATGAGGAGAGTATAAAAGTCACAATGGATGATTTCGTGAATGCTCTTCATGAAGTTATTCCTTCATTTGGTGCTTCCATGGACGACCTTGAACGTTGCAGGTAAGAATGATCTGGAGTTCTTTCCATTACATGATTAATTTTTTGTGAGATCTATTTCTGAGAGACAATGAGGTTTTGAAATGGTTTCTAATGGTGTACTTGATATCATGCTCTACTCAGAACTTAGGGCTTGTTTGTTAGCAGTTTAATGAGCTTAAATCACAGCTTATTCGGTCAGCTATACATGACTGTTTGGTAGTGGCTTATTGATATAGAAATTGACTTCCCAACCGGGGGGGGGGGGGGGGGGGGGGCGCTATATGCCGAAAGCCAGTTTTTTTCAAACATGAAAAAAATTCTCAAACAAAAACCTTCTCAATCTATACAGACATTAGTCCACACAGACAACTTTATCTATACAAAACTTAATGGAAAACCAACCAAACAGCCCCTTAATTCTTTTTCGCTTAATTCATGCAGACTCAATGGAATAGTTGATTGTGGTCAGCGACATGATCATATCTTCAAAAGAACTATGTTATTAACGGAGCAAGTTAAAGTTAGCAGAGGTAGTCCGCTTGTCACAGTTCTTCTGGAAGGCCCAAGTGGCAGGTAAATTGTGGTTTGATAATATATAACGTTAATATAAGCCGTCTCCCAGTTCACTAACTTTTTTTAAATGTCTTCGGCAGTGGTAAGACTGCAATGGCAGCTACTGTAGGTATTGGTAGTGATTTTCCCTATGTCAAGATTGTAAGTCTTTCCATATAAAAATTAATTTATTAATTGCATACTAGTGTGCAAAATCAACATATTGTTCATAAAAATAATTATGGTTCTCCAAATGGTAGATTTCAGCTGAATCGATGATTGGCCTCAGTGAAGCCAGTAAATGCGCACAGATTGTGAAGGTTTGATGTTTCTTCCGAATCATCTTGTTCATCCATTATTTTGTCTTATATTATTAGCATATGTAGCTTGCTTGGTTTATGATGCATTTCAACTTTCATGCATACACTTGAGCTGTTTCTCATGAGAACACTTTTCATAGGTATTTGAGGATGCTTACAAGTCAACACTGAGCATTATTGTTCTTGATGATATTGAAAGGTAATTCACATGATGTCATATACATGTGCATTCTTGATCTAATTGAAATTTGTATGCGCTGCTGTTTGCAAGCCGGGGCTCTTTTTTTCTTGAAGTATATAGTATTTATATACGGAAAATGCAACACATAAACTCACACACCCTCCTCGCCTTTGGTGAGGTTTGAACCCCTGACCTCCTAGGAGGCCAGAGGCTTAGATACCGTTAGCCCAAAGGTCCTTTTGGTTGCAAGCCGGGCATCTTCGTGGAAACAACCTCTCTACCTCTAGGGATAGTGGCAAGGTCTGCTTACATCCTATCCCCGAACTTTACCTCTGTGTGGGATATACTGGGTTTGTTTGGTTTCGTATCCGCTATTGATTAACCGTTCCTGGACCTTCATGAACACAGGCTACTGGAATATGTTGCCATTGGACCTCGCTTTTCCAACTTGATTTCTCAGACGTTGATGGTCCTTCTCAAACGGCTTCCTCCAAAGGTATTCCTTATCTTGTTGCTTGAAATAAGTATGGTTGCTCTTGATCTTATGAAGTAATACACATCTTTTTTGCCTCTTTGGCATGATAATTTGTGGACGTGAAAAGAGACATAAGAAATATGACATGTTTCTTGTTGCTAAAAGTGCTGGATAATGGCATCATTTTGGTAATTTTGTGGAAGTAGTCTCATCGCTTTAACTTTCAGGGTAAAAATATGCTGGTGATTGGAACAACAAGTGAGGTGTCTTTCCTGGATTCGGTTGGCATTTGTGATGCTTTCTCGGTCACTTACCATGTTCCTACATTGAAGACCGAAGATGCTAAAAAGGTAATTTGTTCTGATTCTCATCTCGGTCATTATGCAAGTTGTATAGTTATATGCTTTGATGTTTAATGTTTTTGTCTCTTCAATGAAAATCTTCCAAACACCCACTTTAAGTTTCTCATTTTTTTTTTTTAATTTAAGCACTTTATCGTGAAAATGGTTTTTAATCTTTATAGGTATAAGAACTCATTTTGTGGCTTATTTTCATTATTACTTCCAGTTCCATGAACCTACATGCATCTTTTTACCCCCTTTACCCGAAAAGAGTGGGATGGCGGAGGATTTTTACTCGGTTTTCTGAAAATATTTATATACGGAGTTGAATATGTTCTGGAGAGATCAACATATAGTGAGCCAAAGTTTCTTTGTTTTTCCTCGAGTTTACGGATGTGTCAAATTATCTGTGATCTTTTTCTTTTCAGGTGTTGCAACAAATCAAAGTGTTTTCAGACGATGATATTGATGCTGCGGCCGAGGCCCTAAATGATGTAAGCTTTTCTTGATCTTTAAACATTTTGCTTTGGTTACCACAACTTCCTAATATGGTTTAGCATGTAGAGCTTTATATCCGTTTCATATACTCCTGTTATTTATGCATATACTTGTGGAATCCTTTATTTTATGGACCCTTGATCACTTATAATCTCAAAACAACCCATGAGTTGCACTTTAGAAGGGAATTGGTTTGGTGCTTCTCATTAGTTTTGTTCTAGTGGAACTCTTCAGTTAGGATTGATCCAGGGGTGGAGATCCCTTCTTACCTTTCTCAACATAACTCTCATTCTCTCCGGACTCCAACCCTTATTGTATGTCAACCTTGGTCTTCCTACTTTTACTGGATGCTAGTCTTAGTTTTTCCTGCTTTTTATTGTATGTCATACATAGTTTTTCTCCTGCTCTAGTAGTTGTCATGTAACGCTCTTTGTTCCCATGTTTGTTTCATCTTATGGTCCTCTCACTCTTGTTGCTTGTTCGCACACACTCGTCTGTTACTTCTCGCACATTTCATGTTAATTTTTGTTGTGCAAGCCGAGGTTCTTCATGAAACCAACCTCTCTACCTCTTTGGGTAGAGGCAAGGTTTGCATACATCCTACCCTCCTTAGAACCTATCTATATGTGGTATGCATTGGGTTCGTTTGGTCTTTATACTCCCTTTTCTAGACGATTCTTTACCGTTATTTTCGCATAGGTGACTTTTTAGGTATTCCCTTGGTCCAAAAATAAGTGTACACATTTCTATTTTAGTTTGCCCCAAAATAGGTGTCCACTCTACTTTCCAATTCTACCCTTAATTATGAGATGGAGAAATTCATTACTCCCTCTATTATCACAGTAAAATTGTCATTTAGTTGAGAGTAAATTATGTTTTTCGTCCGTGGTTTAGAAATTGTGGTTTTCGTCCCTATGGTTTGTAATTCATTGCTATTTTGTTCTTATGATTTACAATTTATTATTGTCTCGGTCCCTATGGTGTATGATTCTATACTGTTTTGGTCCTTTTTTAAAGGTAGGAATTAGTCCTAGGACAAAAATAGCAATAAATTGTAAACCATAGGGACGAAAATCTCAATTTCTAAACCACGGGGATGAAAATTGAAATTGTTAACAAACCACAGGGACGAAAATGGTAATGTACTCTTTTAGTTAAGTAAAAAGTGTAGTAATTACACTTTCCTAAAATCATGTGCCTTTTAAATCATCGACATTTATTATGGGATGTAGGGAGTAGTAAGATCCCATCTGTGCAACCATTTTTTTGGTATAATACCAAAATTTTGAGACAGGATGATGCTTAAAAACATTGTGTTGGTGTTGTAGATGCCGATCAAGAGACTATATATGGTGGTAGAGATGGCGGCACAGGGAGAGTATGGTGGAGGCGCGGAAGCAATCTACTCCGGCAAGGAAACAATTCAAATTTCACATTTCTATGATTGCCTCCAGGATATCGTCCGCTACTAGTGTATGTCGTGTATGCTTCTTATCTCTATATACACCTGCTTTCGTTTTCTACACAATACTCGAATTTTGTATCTTGGCTTGTATACTTTCCCCCCACGGCATATTTCGGCAGCAGAGTTTAGAAAGAAAAAAAACCATCAATTTTTTTTTAACTTTTGTTAACGTTGTGTGTGAAGAGTAGACCGATTGATAGCTACTTGGTCTGTGTTGTTGGTATTGATAGTCTTCTGTTTATTTGTTTTAAGAGCTCGAAAATCGGTCATTGGTTGTGATTTTTATGATGGATTATTGATTATTTGTTGTTCAAGCTTTTAAGGTATATATGAGAATTTTTATATACGTTGGATTCTTTTAAGATTCAAGGGTTTTCGTTTCATATATTCCAATTGGTAACAGAGCAAGTGTCTGAGACGACATATTTTTTCGTCTTGGTTCTAGGAGGCATTGTTTAGCCTCGGGCATGTCTAAGTCCTACTTGCGAGAATCACACAATAAAAGGTGATCAACCTGCAAGAGTTTCCAAATTAGAAAGGGTTAAGTTTTGGTTAAACCTTTTACCTCGAATTAGCCATCTATTCTTAGTCAATTTGATTAAAATTAGACAAAGGTGATGTAATTAACATAACATGAATTTCCCAAAAGAGTTTTTAGTAGGAATATATGAAATGTAAAAAGTATAATTGAGTTGGATGGTCATTTGGCATGATGTGCTACTGCCATATTAAGAACAACTGCCATAACCATAAGGCTAGTGCTCGATTGGTTTGAGCTTGAGTTTGAGCTTCAAAGGTCAAAAGTGCTAGAAGGTCGAATTCAATGAGGAATAAAAACCCCCTTGTGACCACGAAGGTTTAAATGCATTGACTTCGCGGGTGGTCGCCCTGGGATTAGTCGGCTCGGATAGTGGGTTGGATATCCAGGTTAATGAAAAAAAACAATTTCATCATATATCTACACCTATGGTTATGCTTTCAAATCAGAATTCATAACTAGAATGTAGGAAGAAGGGAAACAACTAATTGTGCCGCCATAGTTGGGATCGGGAAGAGGTAGCCTAGACCAAAGGACCATTGGCCAAACATACCTGGTAAGCGCACTTTCTTGGAGGCCGAAGGTTCAAGTCTCACAGAATATGAGAAGTGTGTACGAGTTTAATTTGCATTATATAAGATATCATATACTTAAAAGAAGAGGTAGCCTGGGCCATTGGCCTAACAGTGCCTAGCAACCTCAACTTTCTATTGGTCAGAGGTTCCCATTAAAAATGAAAAGTGTGTGTGAGTTTAATTTGATGTATATGAATACTATTTTATTGACATACCATTGTTTGTTTACATCATTGTTGATACCATCGTGATGGAGGTTCTAACAGCTTTAATATGTAGTTCCTTAGCGTGTCTTGTTATGTTCTAGTTTTAAGTAAAGAAACACAAGTCTTGGTTCGTATCTTTGTTTTAGTTCTGTAGACGATATGTAGTCATCTAATGTATCGTGGCTAAATAAAAGGAACTTATTATAGTTATTATATGAGCACAAAAAAGGAATATGCCACTATTAGGATTTTAGAGTGTTCCCTCTGTACCGGTCCCATGATCATCATATGAAAAGTAAACTACATTTTTCCTAGAGGTAGGTGGATGATGCCCGGCTTGAACCTAAGACCTCAAGTGAAAAGATGAATCTTATAAACAAGATTTCAAAATTTGTTCTTTGTCCGGTCACAATGTGATAGGAAAGGTGAGCACATAAAAATTTGTTGTTAAGAGTTTTAACTTACAAACCTCTTCTAGTTTCCGGATTTAAGTTGGCCTAACGATCACAATTTATACCTTTGGGCTAAAAAAGAAAGCCCAACATGGTTATATAAGTGCCCATCAGTCCCAGTCCTTGTCCTACATCAGAACAGGCCTGAGTTTGGTCATCTCTAGACTCTCTAGCACCCAATACACCAACAAAACAAACAGACTGGTTCAGTTATTGGTTCAAGATTTTCCAAATCGGTTCTTAGTTTGGTAAGCTTTAAAACCAAGAGGTAGGTTCATATGACAATGATACATAAATAAGAAAATGACCAAATTACGTACAAAATCACATGTGATTTTACATTAACGGTAAAAAAAAGTGTATGGGCGACTTTGGCTGCGACTTCAAGTCTCAAGACAAAGTCACGTAAATCATATGTGATTTTAGTGTAAAATCATATATAATTTGACTCTTTTCTTATTTATCATTCTTGTATGAACGTGACTCTTAAAACCAAATTAATATGTGTTTTTAGTTTTTCATATGTATGTATCAGATTTAAACAATCTCCTAAACATGTTTTTTGGTTGTTCTTTATTTTTTTCAATATCCTAGAGCATCCTTAGATCCTGTTTGGTTTGCAGGAATGAAATGGATTTGGGGGGATTTGGATTTCAAATTCATTTCAATCTCATGTTTGGTTTGTTAGATTGTTCGGATTTAAAATACTAGAATTTTAAAATCCTTAGGGGTGCTTGAGATTTCAGGGCATTTCGCAGGATTGTATGCAATAAGATTTTAAAAGAATATTAAAAACATTTGTTTTGTAATAATCGATAAATAAAAATGTAATTTAATTATTTTTATAATTTTTTATAAAATATTTATAAATAATGGAATCCAATTTCATTCCAAATCTCATAAATAAAATACCATTGTTGGACCTTATGCTCTTTAAGTTCGGGTAAGAAGTGACATTTTTTTAGTTTTTTATTTTATTTTATTTTATTGACTTTATAATTATTATTAATGTTGAAAAAATTAATGAGAACGAAACAATTTTAAAAAAATGTTTTTATAAAATGGTAAATTGCATGAAAAAATAACGTATTTTAACTTGATTTTTTTTTTGAGTAATGTACTTTCAAGATTTTCATTTTGGTACATAAGATTTAAAGTTTTAAACATTTAAGTACCCGAATAAACGATTGAAACATTAACCGATTACCATGCTGATATGGCGAACGATGTGATATTCAACTCAGTATTATTTGCTATTCAACCCATCACTCCCCATATCAGCATGGTAAACGATTAATGTTTCAATCGGTTATTCAAATACTTAAAAATTTAAAACTTTAAATTTTAGATATTAAAATAAAAATTTTAAAAATACATTATCCAAAATAACAATTAAGTTAAAATTTGTTCCTTTTTCGTAACTTTACGTCTATAAAAGCTTGTATCGAAGATGCTTTTAGGTTATAACGCGTAATCGAGTTGAGAGGGTGAAGGAAAAAGGGTTAGTAGGATACAGCGTAGAGGGCCGGTAGTGGTGACCATCTGACATCGATTTCCATGTTTATGATACATCACACCCAATACCAACTCTCCACGTGGACTACACAGACTGGTTCACACCATCGATTCCTTTCTCTCTTCCCCCCAAATCCCTTCTCTCTACTTTTTTGTCACTAAAGTCTAGAGAGAGAAACATGATGCCTGTGAGCCATTGTCGCCATTAATATATATATATATATATATATATAAAAGCTTCTTCACTCTCACCCCCTTAATCTTTGCTTTCCCATTTCCCCCATCTTCTTCGTTTGTTTTCTTTCGATTTACTTTTTCAAGGTTTCTTTGATTCGCTCATGTTCTTATATTCGAATCTTGATCTTCTCTTTGCATATAATAATTCAGAAACCCTTTTTCAAAAGATGTTTTCCTCTTTCCCCACTTCAGTTTTATTCATCCCCAATTTCTAATTCACGCCACATCTCTCCACCCTTTCTCTTTCTTTGAAACGTAAACGAGTTTTTGTTGTTGTTTGTTCCATCTGATGTTTAGTTTCGACTCATCTTATCATCATCAATCACCAATCAACTCTTCATCGAGCTCGATCCCTTCTAATTTCCTTCACCCCACCTATTCCTGCTCTTTTTCCCGTTTGAATTTCATCAAATTCCGCCTTAAAATTTGATTTCGGAAACCCATTAGGGTTTCTTCGTATTTTCTCGAGTTGAAGGATTTTGAAAAAATGGGGGATCGGTTTAGATCGGCCACGCAGTTGGACGACTTGCCGTTGCATTTGATTTTTGAAATCTTGACATCCGGCGGCCTATTGGGTGTGATGGATCTTGTGTGTTTGGAGCTAACCAATTCAACTTTTCGAGGTACTCATGGATTGGTTCCTCACAAGTTGAAATCATTGGTCGATTTTGCAGCTTTTCAGGTTTGTGGATCACATCCTATATACGTTTGCTTGAGTTACAGAGCTCAGGAAGAGCTATTAACTCGATGTGCTGGAAATTGGAAGAGAATTTTGAGGTTCTTGCAGTCAGTTCATCAGTCCTCAGACGTGGTTGAAACTTCTGATGGCAATGTATGATTTCTGGGCTCTTGATTGTTGACTAATACAACTCTTTATTTCAAAACAAAAAGCTTGTTAAGACGTCCAAAAACGTCTTAATCAACTTATTGTAACACCTTTACTTAAACACACAATTAGGTCTTATAAACCCAAGTCCTATAAAGCAGTATATTATGCCATTTAGACATATTTGGTGTCTTATAAAGCTGACATTGTTGTAGTGAACAACCATGACAATTTATGGTCCTTATATGCATTTAGGGGCCGTTTACCCAATTGCTTACCCGGTAAGCGCTTACTGATAGGAGTCAACACTATGATTTATTTTGATGCCCAAGATTTTAGTACATTAAAACATATCGAATGCAATAATTTACTGGTTAAGCGCTTACCTAGGTAAGAGTCGTCATCCTCACTTACCGGGTAAGACTTTCCATCATGCTCATCGCTCTTACCCTGTAAGATTCTTGGCCCTTCTTATGTTCATCCAATAAGGAAATTTATCCGGTAAGCACTTACCAAGTAAGTGTTTAGTAAACGGCACCTTAGCTAACATCATAATTACATTGGTAAATGGATGTTACTTGATACTTTGGATGTTTGTAGCAGATGCAAATTAGGAGTGGAAGGTATCATACGTTACTGATCAAGGATTCAACGGTTTACTCTTGTGGTTCTAGTTTGTGTGGCGTTCTTGGTCATGGTCCTGAAACAACACAATGTGTAGCATTCACTCCGATCAAGTTCCCAAATCATGCCCACGTAACGCATGTTTCAGCTTCCCACAATCATGCCGCCTTTGTGACACAATCGGGAGAGGTTTGCACACGTCTTTGTTTTTACATTTTAAAGGCTATAGTTGTTATACACGTGAATGAAGTGATATTTATTTATTAAAAGATGTTGAACTCTGAAGTCTTATTTCACTTTTGTTGGTATGAGGTGGTACTTAAGTTTGAGAGCGAAATCAATAACACTGTATTGTAAACTGATAAATGTCTGAATGTGTGATTGTGTTTAGCCCTGATAATATTATACTGTTTAACTTGTAAGATTAAACGTCTAAATCAAGAAATACAATGATTTCGATCCCGATGATGATCTCTAGCTATGAATGTTCATAGGTTTTCACATGTGGTGACAACTCGTCCTTTTGTTGTGGGCATAGTGATACAAGCCGTCCAATATTCAAGCCTAGGTTGGTCGAAGCACTAAAGGAAGTCCGTTGCAAGCAGGTACTCATACAACAATTGGTATTTTGATGTTTGTTTAATGTTTATATGCATTCTATTGTTTAGAGTCACACCTTGAACGGAGATGGGGTGCATCAAACCTATTGAAGATAGTCATATAGATGTAACTGTTGTTGGAATCTCACATCAGCTGAACAAAAACCATATAACCTATGTTAAAATGTGTGTGTGTGTATATATATTATACATAGAGAGAGAGGGAGAGAGAAAGAGGGAGGGAGGGAGGTTTAGGGGAAAAACCCCAAAAAATGGAAAACTGAGGAACACTCTGACAATCGTTCATCTGGACATGATGCACATGTGCATAGAAGTAACTCAAGTTGTTTTTTGGTTTTTATGCATGTCTGCATGTTATGCACATGTGCATACCAGACGAATTGCTAACAAATTACTTGTATGCACATGTACGTACCGTCTGGATGAACGGTTACTGGGGTGGTCCTCAGTTTTTCATTTCTTTGTGGTTTTTTCCTAAACCTGAGCCGATATCTATATATATGTACAAACCTCCCCATCCTATAGGTCCTTTTGTTAAATAATCTTCAGTCAGGATTTAAGTTTTTCTTAAATCCATGACCTTCTGACAAGTTTGAGAATGCCACTCACACACAAGAACACCTAGAATCCTATAAGAAGGTCATGGATTTGAAAATCACCTTTCAGGGAGGTTTAGCTAAATTAACCCCTCTACTACAAGGGCTTTTTTTTGAGAGAGTTTCAAAGGGGTTCCATGTATCTTAACAATTGTTTGTAAGGCACATCTGCTAATGTTGGTATCCTTGTATTCTCATCAAATAAGTCGCGCATTATTTCAGGTTGCAGCGGGGGTTAGCTTTACTGTGTTTCTAACAAGAGAAGGTCAAGTATACACATGTGGGACCAGTGCACACGGCCAACTCGGCCATGGTGACACCCTGGACCGACCAACACCAAAACTTGTGGAAGCCCTTGTGAGCGTGGGCCCCGTTGTCCAGATTGCTGCTGGTCCGGGTTATGCCCTTGCTGTCACCAATGATGGAACCGTTTATTCATTTGGTTCTGGAACCAATTTCTGTCTTGGCCACGGGGAGCAGCACAATGAGCTACGCCCTCGGCCACTCCAGTCGTTCAGGAGAAAGGGCATCCACATTGTCCGTGTCTCTGCTGGTGACGAACATGTCGTTGCACTCGATTCTAACGGATATGTAAGCCAACACCACCTTTTTTCTTAAAGCATTTCATCTTTCGGTCTTGATGTTTCTTAAAGCATTTCATAACGGAATTTCAGGTCTACACTTGGGGGAAAGGCTATTGTGGGGCACTTGGCCATGGGGATGAGATCGATAAGACGACCCCCAAGCTCCTGAGTAGCCTCAAAACTCACCTCGCTGTTCAGGTGCTTTTTTTAAGTATATAATATTTATATATGCCAACACTCGTATAAAATCCCCTGATATGATCATTCTATTAGAAATTGAGGGTTCCATGGTCAATAAAACCGGATAAATCACTTTGAGAAGGTCATTCAGCTAAATGGTCCATCTCTGGGCTTGTTTTGTCAGCAGCTTAATGAACTTAATAAGATTCACAGCTTATTAAGTCATCTATACATGACTGTTTGGTAGTGGCTTAATGATACATGAATAACGTATTCTATAAGCTTCTAGGGGGAGCCTTATACAGAAAGCCAAGTTTATTAGAACCTGCCCCTACCAATTAAAATACACGTGAATAAAAAAACCCTCTCAAACAAAAAATCTTTCCAATCTATATATATAGACAGATAATCCATACAGACATCTTTATTCATACGGAAGTTGATGGAAAACCAACCAAACAACCCCATAACGATTTTGTGATGGTTGTAGGTGTGTGCAAGCAAGAGGAAAACCTTTGTGTTGGTGGATAATGGATGTTTATATGGATTTGGATGGATGGGTTTTGGCAGTTTGGGGTTTCCAGATAGAGGGGTATCAGATAAAGTCTTGAAACCTAGCATGCTTTCAAGTCTAAAGGATCATCACATTTCTCAAGTCAGCACAGGTTTGTATCATTCGGTCGTGGTCACTAGTCGAGGCCGCATATTTGGATTCGGAGACAATGAACGAGCCCAGCTCAGCCACGATAAGTTAAGAGCTTGTCGCGAACCGAGCGAAATCTTGGTTCAAGAAGCTGCTGGTGGTACCCTTCCTCCATGACCACAAAGATTAGGATCAACTACAGGTATTCAAAAGGTTAGGAGGTGTTTGTTCTGTTGCATCATGTTTTGTACCGTTTGTTTGTATGAATTTAGATAAATTGTCCGTTTATTTTTTACGTTAGATAAACAACTCGAAAAACATAACCACGCCGTCTTACGGATATTTGTTTCGTATATGTCGAAAATAAATTCCTTTTTACATTTTCTATGTATTTGTTTGATTTGGAGGTTTGTTGCGGAAAGATCAAATAAGAACATGATCAAAACGTGTGTATAAAAAACTGTCAACCCGAGAAACCTGCTGTTAAAATATTATAAAATTTTATTTATATACATGTATGTTTATTATGTTATACATATATGTGTGTGTATATATATATATATATACATATATATATATATATATTAATAATGTTTGTATTTCATTGTAGCTAAACATATATGTTACCAAAAGAGATTCACGATCAAAGAATGATGACAAATAATCTAATTAATAAGAGAATTATTGAAATCTTTTCTGCAGCAACAACAAATTGATATGTCAGAAAATATGAATGATATTGATATATATATATATTTGGTTGACGAATCCGTCAATCAAAATACTCTGTCATTTTATGTTGTACTTTAGTGAAAAAAATGCTTAGTTATAGTATTTCGCTACAACAACATTAGATCTTATATGACACCAGATATGTCTAAGCGTCCTTGTATGATACTCTATAAGACAAAACAAGAAAAATGTCTTATTACAAAGTGTCTTAACAAATGCTACGACGCTTTTAAAATAAAGTGTCGTATTAGTTATTTTATACGAAATGACTTGAAAAAGTGTCATATGAACATCGGTGTCTTGTAAATAGATGAGTTTACGAGACATTTCTCAAAATGTTTCTATAAAATTACTAATACAATATTCTAAAGATCATTCTAAAACACTTGTTGAAACGTCCTATAAACCTATTGTAACTTTTTTAGATAGGACGTTTTATAGTATGATCTATAAACTTAAATTTTATGAATTATTTCATTCGTCAAATTTATATAACTACTAACCCGCAAACCCAACCCAAACCGCCTCAACCCGCAAGGATTGGGTTGGGTTATACTTTTAAACCGCCATATTTGTTTTGAGTTGTAAAAATGTTGTAAATCGCTTAATCCAACCCACGTACATCCCTACCAATCAACATCCAATTAATCATCCGATGATCATCCAATTGTCCATCCAACCATTATCTAACTATCATCTAATTAATTTATCTTCAAGTTGTTTAAATCGGAATTTGTTTTATGTAAGGTTTTGAATTTTTAACTTCTTTTGTGTTGATTTTAACACATATTAAGAGTGATTAATTAATTTATATCATTGTTGGAGAATTGAATTGAATCAACACACTTGATATATCCAATCTCATATAATCCATTGGATATCCAATAAAAATATCAGATGGATTAAACCAAACCGATCCAATCATCCATTAAATTTGATTGGATCGATTATTCGATGTTAATCAGATTAAATCGGTTAACAAAATCTGACGTACAATAAATAATTAGCTCGGTTCGACTCTCCTGACAACCGGTGGATATCAACAGTAATACTAATAACTGTTTTAACTTTGATTTTGGTTTTGTTGATATATGTGGCGTTATTGTGTTCCACGTATTTATTTCATGACACATGTCCAAATTAACCTAGTATTCCACAAACGAAAACAACACGTCATGGACGTCCGTACAACGTGACTCCATGTGGAGACCGTTCACACACCCTGACATCAACTTTTGTCCGTAATCCTACTTATTTTGTAATCCACCAAAATAAAATAAAATATAATACTGTTTTATTTTATCTGTCTGTCCAACGTTTAATTTCAGACGTACATAACAATTATAATTATTGAGTTTTTCAACGATAATATATTTACAGGTGCAACTTCATGAAATTAGTTTCGAACATAGCCTGAAACGTCCTTACCAGATATTTTACTTTATAATATATATTGATGTTAGATACTTAATCATGATTTTTGGTAGAGATGGCAAAAAAAACCCCGAAACTTTCGGATCGGAGATGGGATGGGAATCGGGAACATATTCGGGGATTTTAGTATGAACGGGAATCACCGGCCTGATATGTGTATATATATTAATTTTAATTTATATATATAATAGCATTAAAAGAAAAAAAAATACTAATTTTAAAATTTAAAAACCTTTTATCTACTTTAGCTCAATACCCCAAATACGGTTCACGAAAAAATCTAGTTTATTTGTCTAATCATGAAATTGTGATGTTAGTTGTATAATGTTTGAAGTTCTGTTTGTTTTTATATTGTAATCTAAGATGTGTGTAATTGGTTTGATTATGTTTGATACATTTTGACTTACATCTTTAAAAGAATTGTAATTTAATTTCTAGTTGTAAAAATTAACATATTGTAATTTATTTCAGATTGGTTTGGGTTTCAGGTTAGGATATAACCAACGCGAACGGAAAAACCAACGGAAAAAGGGGGATTTTTACCCTTAACGGGTTCCCCAACGGGGAACAGGAAAACAACGGGTACATGACGGAGATCCCCCATAAAATCTCCGACAAGGATCGAAGCAATTATAGGGATCATTTTAGTTATCGGTTTCGAAAACGGGAATACCAATATCCAGCAAAAAAAGGCAAGGAATAAACTTAACACGTGAGTAGGCCCAGTTCGATTACAAGATATTACTCAAACGATCCAAAACTATTTCATAATTACAAAACTTCCCTTCATCTTTCTCTTTCTTCCAACATTGTTCCTCTTTGTCACCCTACTCGATCATGCACTCTAAATGCTCCCGGAGGACTTCCAACATGCCGGAAAATCTCACTATTCCGACGACGCTACAGTCGTCTTCAATCACCCACACGTAATTTACACGGTGTGCGATTGCCTGAATCATCACCGCCACCAACGAGCTTCCGGGATGGCAAACGATAGCCTCTGCCCTCCTCATCATCCTGGCTGAGTAGCTGCTTGACCTTTTGTATCTCCGTGACTGTGTAGTTGTCGGCGACGGCGCCGTTTCCTCGTCGGACGATGAGTTGTTATTACAGTCTGGAATTCCGGTGGAGTAAATTGAGAACTCCTCGAGCATTCCCTTTAGATTTCTCTCCTTCAACCTTTCTTCCACTACCCTGATTATATCTTCCGGTGGGCCACCGCAGTCGATGTACGCCATCAGGTCGCCGGCGGATAGCGTCGTGATAGCAGCTGCAACCATCTCGTCACAGTAGATGAGGGTAAAAGGAGATATTTCCCCAATCAATACACCGTCATCGTCGATGACAGCAACGGAAGTCTGGTCGGCGAGAGAGGTGGAAATGGCTTCCACGGCTTTGGAAGCCGGAGAATGGTAATTGATTGTGAGGACGTCGGTGGTGATGATACCGAGGGAGTCGATGGAATAAGCGGCGGTTGGGGAGAATAAACCAATGGAACTCAGAAGGAATCTGATCACATCTTCTTGTGTCAGCCAACAGAATTCACGGCCACCGGAATGTATGGTCGGAGTAATTGATGGGTATTGGCGGAGTTGTTTTCTTTTCAAGGTTTTATTCTTGATAGGCACTACAAGATTCTGAGCACCGTTGATTATAAGATCAATGGCTTCAAACAAACTGCAAAACACAAGTCAAAAGCTAAAGAAACAAGAAGAAAGAACCAAACAGAAAGAAACAAGAAGAAGAAACCAAATGAAATGAAAGTTTAGGGTTCCATAAAACCTGGAGGAGGGTTCCACATGTCTAACGACTCCGGGAACATGTGMGAGTAAAGCAGAAACTGGGGATTTGAGTGCCGATGAAGGAGAGGAGATGTTATCTTCTTTGCAGAGGTAGCAGATGATGTCGACCATGCAGATTTTTCCGACGCAGCGRCAGTCGTCATGAATGAGTTGCAGGTGGCCGGTGGTGGAGTTATGGTGGTTGCATGCCCAGATACTGATGTGGGTGTCGTCGGAGGATTTGAGTGCGGTTAAGGCGTGGYGGACGGTGGCGGAGATGGAGAGGGATCGGAGGGGAGGCTTGCCGAGGCAAAGATCAGAGACCTTATATGCCAACAACCGAGCTGCCATACACAGATTTCAGAAGTAAATCGAGAAGAGATTCGTGTTTGTGATATTGATGTGGACGAGTATATATACACATATGGTTAGTGGAAATTTTGTGGGTTTGGAAGTTTGTATTCATTTTAGAAAAGTTTACAAGGTTTTCTTTAGAATTGGGTTTTGAAAAAGTTGATGGACTCATCGTCGGGTTTTGAGTGGAAGGCCTAACACATACGGTCGTGGTTGAGGCCACGGGATTTGCGAAGGTGGCGCACGCCGCATCAGAGCAGAAGGAGTCTCGCCTTGAACTCCGAGTATCTTTTTGGTACAAAGTCGAGAGGAGAAAGAAAATAACCGTTTTTTTTAAAACGGTTTTTGACTTAGTCTAACCACGATTTAGAGATAATGCTCAGTGGAAAAAAATCCTCCAACATGATCTACGGTTTTCGAGGAGGATTTCGTGAAGAGTTGAAGGCTTCACCCAGTATAAAAACTGGGTTGAAGCCAACTTTCAAACACACAGAAAAAAAAACGGATTTTCCTTCTACTTTTGCTGCTTCCGAACGTTGTTTTTCTTCTCTACCAATCTCTGCATCCACCGTGCTCTATTTTCGTTTTTGATCGTTGTTCATAAACAAAAAGTATACTGCATCAAATCCTGGGGCTTTGCGACTAGCAAACTCACAGCGAGAAAATAGTTGTCGTATAAAACCTTAAAGGACAGGTTTTTTACCGTGCAGATTGCGTTTCATCAACAGTTTAATCAGGTTGGTTTTATATATTTAATGCATTGTATTCTTAATCCTTGTCATATTCATCCGGTAAGGTAATGTGACTTGGTGAGCACTTACTGGGTAAGCATTTGGTAAACGGCACCTTAGGAATTGATCTGATGCTTCTCGGTACACCACTACACCTCATTGTTATTGACATCCAATTAGAATTCATTCAAAGATGAATATCTCTTCTCACGATTTTTACCATAACCTTCTTTATATATATATACACACACACACACATTTGGGATCACGTGAGACCAGTCTGTTTCCATGAGACCCGTGAGACCACTTTTTTGCACGTGAAACTTCACAGCGTTTGCTGTGAAGGTAACTTTTACAATGTTTTGCTATAAAAGTTCGGTTTTTTTTACCTTTTCAAGTGTACAAAAGTGGTCTTCCGGGTTTTCACGGAAACAGACTGGTCTTACGTGAACCTAATTTTATATATATATATATATATATATATATATAACCAGTTGTCCAATTCAGTCCTTGATACATCAAGTACCAAAAAAAATTATGTGACAGGTGTTTGTTATTTTGTGTTTTTTGAAAACTGAATCTTCAATTATTTAAATTTTTAACGAGATTCCATTATGATTCAAGTTTAAGTGATAAGAGGTTCTAATACTACCCCTTCAATAAAGCTAGATGGATAAAGATTGCTCCAGAGTGTCAAACGGGGCCTAGACCAAAGGCAGACTTAGAAATGAAGATATGAAGTCTTGTGTTTGAGTCTTTCATCACGAACTTTGTTTAGAAACATGATAAATATGAAATTAAGAAAATGACACAAACATGAAACTGAGATGGGAAAAAAGCCATACAAACCAACTCTACATAAATAAACTTGTGTTATTATTGTAGTTTCAAAACATATGTGGTTGCAAATAACAAAGTGATATGCTGACACATTTCACGACCCTAAACTTTTTATTACTACGACGGAGAAACAAAAAGTGATGGTCTATGCCACCGTATGCACTAAGCTAATGTGGGTCCTCCTTAGGACAAGACGACTACAAATTGCCTCAAAATCGAGTCCTCTGTAGTGGTGGACATTGATTCTGATAAAATATGAGAATATATGAAAAATGAAACCCCATTAAAAGATAAAATAGGTTCCACATGTTGAGGATAATTAAAAATGGTTCAAATTTAGTTCGTGAACGATTTGAACATTTATAATGATATGACTCAACTTCAGTTCATACAGTATATAATTTGTTCGAAAAAATATGTGGTAGCACAATTCGATTTCTTGAAACTAACCAAAGCATGTTGGCAGTTGTTAGTGACGAATAAAATCCAGAAATTAACAAGAAACCCTGTTTCCGATGTCAATGATTAGAACTGGTTTTAAGTTTCTTACACAGAAATAACATCAACACTAGAAATGCAGTACATAAATCTTACGATTTTTGGGACCAGACCCGTGGTAGATACTATTTCCTTAAAACATATTCACCCCGCCCCCCAATTAGTGCATCAATTTCCCGTCATATAATAATTTGGAACAGTTCGACATCAAACTTCATCACGCTTGAGCTTTTCTCCTGATTTATGTCTTGTATCTTGTATATCACTTTTATATAATTAAATACGATATTAGTCAACGACAGGATGAATGATGTTAGTGTCTGATATTCTGTGGTCACCCTTATTGTAGTATTTGTACCTGTCAAACATACGTACTACACAAGTTCTTTGCTGTAAATCTGCTTTCGGTCCAAGTTTTACACTGATACAGCTATGGTGAACCTGTTAATTAGCCATATGTAGTAGACTGGTTGTTCATTGCAGCTATGAATCCATTCTTATATGTGGGACATCTTAAAGACGCCAATATTCCTCTGATCAACCTCAACATCTACAGATCAATTTCACATTCATAAGAAGTTCGTTTTGAACATACAGTATGTCAAAACGATGCTTGCACGTTACGTGAACCATAATTCTCTTGCCAATTATATAGCTTGGATCCGATTTGGTTTTTGAGTTTGAAATAGAAATAGCACTAACAACCCGTTTTTTTCCAACAAAATTATATTCGATATTTCCACATATTGAAACAAGATATTTTGATCTGAACGAACTACTCTATTTTAGTCAAAAACTTAGAAAAACCAGATCTGATATTATTATATTATTAGCAATTATAAAATTTAATATCAAACCGGTAGGTTATCAACTTATTATCAAAAAATAATGAACATAAAGACTAATTGAAGGAAAAGTCCATATGATACAAAAACAACATTTTCTCAAAAATAAGATGTTGAGTGAATAAAACTCAATACACACACACATATATATATATATATATATATCAATCTATGTATATATACGTATATATACATATATATAGACTTGGGATCACCTGAGATCAATATGTTTTCGTGAGACCCGTGAGACCACTTTTTTACACTTGAAACTTCACAGTGTTTTTGCTGTGAAGGTTCGGCTTCTTTTTACCTTCACAGTGTTTTGCTATGAAGTTTCAAATGTAAAAAAGTGGTCCCACGGATCTCACAAAAACATGTTGGTTTCACGTGAACCCAACTATATATATAGATGCATATGGCCCCGATGAGAAATTGAAGGTATGCCATCTTTTAACGTCGAACTCCATCACCACATACATTTACACACTTCTTCTATAAGTTAACTGAATCGCAACGACAGATATAAGATAATAGCGCCAAAAGATTTGAAACCGTCTCTCATATGTTTTATGATGAAAGTACCTAAAATCATTATTCCGACTTGACAATTCGTGCATGATTATAATGCTTGGTTATATCTGTCATTTGGTTGATGAATACATATGAGTTGTTTGTTCTAAAAAACATATAGGTTTTTTTAATCGATTAATTCATATGAAATTGACAAATGATAAGATCAGATTCAGATCAAAATATATTTGATGAACCGAACATGTTCCCAACCTGTCATATTACCGATCGTCCACGTACAAATAATTACCCCAAGTTAAATTTCTTGATTGATGTTTTGTCATCTTAAATTTAATTGTCTAATATCAATCATTTAATTTTATCTTGTAGTGATTTGTGTCCAACTAGCTTTTGCCAAATAGGGAATGTAAGATTCCACATTGGATAGAATGTGGGGTTAGATTCCGGGAAAACAGTAAAAATTAAAAAACAGCAAAACACGCCGGTAACCATTCATCTGGATGATATACACATGTGCATACAAGTAATTTGTAAACATTTTTTAACACATGCACGTGTGCATAAAACTAGAAAGCAAATCAGTTTTCAATTACTTGTATACATATGTATATAAATATTTGTATATATATATATATTACGATAAATGTAAAATGTAATTTTAAATAATTTGAAAACACCAAATAACATTAATTCACCATTTCATCATTTCTTTTGTTACTTGATGTATCACGGAGTGAATTGGACAACTGATTTTATATATATAGATTATGTGTGTGTGTCATATACTCTTCTTCCCTCCACATCAATATCACACACGCACACATACAAAAACACGAATCTCTTCTCGATTTACATCTGAAAATCTGTGTATGGCAGCTCGGTTGTTGGCATATRAGGTCTCTGATCTTTGCCTCGGCAAGCCTCCCCTCCGATCCCTCTCCATCTCCGCCACCGTCCGCCACGCCTTAACCGCACTCAAATCCTCCGACGAYACCCACATCAGTATCTGGGCATGCAACCACCATAACTCCACCTCCGACCACCTGCAACTCATTCATGACGACTGYCGCTGCGTCGGAAAAATCTGCATGGTCGACATCATCTGCTACCTCTGCAAAGAAGATAACATCTCCTCTCCTTCATCGGCACTCAAATCCCCAGTTTCTGCTTTACTCTCACATGTTCCCGGAGTCGTTAGACATGTGGAACTCTCCTCCAGGTTTTATGGAACCCTAAACTTTCATTTCATTTGGTTTCTTCTTCTTGTTTCTTTCTGTTTGGTTCTTTCTTCTTGTTTCTTTAGCTTTTGACTTGTGTTTTGCAGTTTGTTTGAAGCCATTGATCTTATAATCAACGGTGCTCAGAATCTTGTAGTGCCTATCAAGACTAAAACCTTGAAAAGAAAACAACTCCGCCAATACCCATCAATTACTCCGACCATACATTCCGGTGGCCGTGAATTCTGTTGGCTGTCACAAGAAGATGTGATCAGATTCCTTCTGAGTTCCATTGGTTTATTCTCCCCAACCGCCGCATATTCCATCGACTCCCTCGGTATCATCACCACCGACGTCCTCACAATCAATTACCATTCTCCGGCTTCCAAAGCGGTGGAAGCCATTTCCACCTCTCTCGCCGACCAGACTTCCGTTGCTGTCATCGACGATGACGGTGTATTGATTGGGGAAATCAGTCCTTTTACCCTCATGTACTGTGACGAGATGGTTGCAGCTGCTATCGCGACGCTATCCGCCGGCGACCTGATGGCGTACATCGACTGCGGTGGCCCACCGGAAGATATAATCAGGGTAGTGGAAGAAAGGTTGAAGGAGAGAAATCTAAAGGGAATGCTCGAGGAGTTCTCAATTTACTCCACCGGAATTCCAGACTGTAATAACAACTCATCGTCCGACGAGGAAACGGTGCCGTCGCCGACAACTACACAGTCACGGAGGTACAAAAGGTCAAGCAGCTACTCAGCCAGGATGATGAGGAGGGCAGAGGCTATCGTTTGCCATCCCGGAAGCTCGTTGGTGGCGGTGATGATTCAGGCAATCGCACACCGTGTGAATTACGTGTGGGTGATTGAAGACGACTGTAGCGTCGTCGGAATAGTGAGGTTTTCCGGCATGTTGGAAGTTCTCCGGGAGCATTTAGAGTGCATGATCGAGTAGAGTGACAAAGAGGACCAATGTTGGAAGAAAGAGAAAGATGAAGGGAAGTTTTGTAATTATGAAATAGTTTTGGATCGTTTGAGTAATATCTTGTAATCGAACTGGGCCTACTCACGGGTTAAGTTTATTCCTTGCCCTTTGGGCCTTTCTTTTTATTATAATAAAACAAAAATGGTTGCAAATATACCAAAATTATAATTAATTATTTAATCTAAATATTTATTATTATAAACGTAAAAACAATCAAGTTTGAAAACATGATGGTGGTGTTCGATTGGTTTGAGCTTTAAGTTTCGAAGGTTAAAAGTGTTTGGAGGTCCTGAGTTCGAATCCAAGGAAGAATAAAAATATGCTTGTGACCATGGAGGTTCAAATGCGGTGACTTTGGGCTACCCGTGAAGCGGATGGTTTCTCAATAATGTTTTGGATACATTTATCGTTTGAAGCAAATCATATCGTTTATGTGGTGTAGTTTGTACCAAACAAATTTAAAGAGTCCTATGACTAAGTTATAACGTGTCTATACCTTGTCTTCCATCTCCTGACTCCGGACGGAATTATAGTATATATATTAGAGTCACAATTATATATATATATATATATATATATATATATATATATTGAGAGAGAGAGAGAGAAGGGGGGAAAGTTCAAATGCTTACCTTTTTTGAATTTTTGTATATGAATCAGTTAAAAGTTGACATATGAAATAATTAATGTATTCACATATGAACTCGTTTGCCTTTTATTTATAAAAGTTACGAAACTACCCATTTATCTTCCGCATATACATGCCATGAATTATCTGGTACTTGATGATCAAAGCCGCAAATATTGACAAGATTAAGAGTTATGATCAGTTATTTACTTCTCAAATATTTAACATTTCTCAAATAAACCTTTATCTATTGTGATGAGGTTTGAATAACGGTTTCATCATTCAAAATTGAAAATACGGTTCTTATACAGTTTGATGGTTTAAACATCAATCTTGGTTATTTGATTCGTAAATAATTAATGAGATATATGATGATTGGGGTGCCTTCATTTGATAATCCTTTAAATTGTGATAACCTTGAGGACTAGTAAATCATGTGATCTTTTTCCATCTACGACTTCGATTTATGGGTTGTTTGATAGTTGTTGAATGGTTTGGTACAGAATAATTAAGTGTTCCAGAATGATTAAGAAGCTCTTATGATATAGTGCAAAATAAAATATAATTGCTTGGTAAATTGTTTACATTGAAATTAGGGTGTTGAATGGTTAAGGGAGGCCTAAAATGCAAAATCATTCAGAGAATTTTAGAACCATTAAGAGAGACTTTTTTTTACCAAACAAGATTCACCTCTTAATGATTCAAATGTTACCTCTTAATGGAACTAAACAACCCATGTGTTTATCATATATTTGTTTCACAATAAGAACATTTATTATGTGTTTATCAAACAAAAGATGCAACTAAAATATTTAACATTGTAAAACATATATATATATATATGGAAAAAATCATATGATAAAACAACAGTTGTCACAATATACAAGATTGTTATCTAATTAAGGGTAAATTGCATGAAAAAGTAACATAATGTAACTTGAAACCTATTTCATGTAACATACTTTCAAAACTTTCATTTTAGTACCAACGATATAAAGTTTTAAATATTTAAATATCCAGGTAACCGGTTGATGTGAAGAGTGATTTGTTATCCAACTCAGTATTATTTGTTATTCAACCCAATTTCATCGCATCACTCGCCACATCAGCATGGTAATCAATTAATACTTCAACTGATTACATGTGTACTTAAATATTTAAACTTTATATCTAATGTATCAAAATATAAGTTTTGAAAATATGTTACTTAAAATAAGAATCAAATTAAAGTACGTTACTTTTTCATACAATTTATCTCATTCTTTAGCGATAACAGTGGGTAATGAATAGCATAGGAGTGATCGAAGAATTGAAAGAAGAAAGAAACAAAATAAAATAAGATCCAAAGAAAAATAAAAACAAAAATATAATAAGCTTCATGTGATAGAAATGGTAGGTGACAAACAACCGCCGAAAGGCTCCAATCGGCTCGGCTCAGCCGCTGTCACAGCAGGATAATGAGACGCGCTGTTGCTTATCTTATATTTTTCGAATGTTTTCCCTGCTGCGAACAAATTATCACAAAGAACCAAGAGGTTATTTTTGTAATTTCCCCACCAAAATAATCCATATGCTATGATTTGGTGATAAATTGAAAACCGAATTTCCTTTTTCTTTTTTCTAAACTTAATCTATACTATATATTATAAAACATTTGACAAAAAAAATTAAAAATTATTTTTTATGTATAAAATAATGTTTATTGATATATATCACTTAAAATTCAAAATTACATATAAATTATGTATAAATACAATTTATTAAAGCTTCATTTTTCAATTTGTATAACTAATTATAAATAAACATAATTAAATACGGGATAAACATATTTTTTTAATATAAAAAAATTAAAATAATTATTAATTATAACAAAATACTTAATTATTATCTTTATAAAAATTATTTTATTAAACGATAAATAAATTACTTCATTGTTAAATCTAAATTAAATTATAACTAAAATATTGAATTAGAAAAATTACAAAAAAAATCCAAAACTTTAAATAGTAAATTTGATACTAATATATAACTATTTTTCAAAAAAAATTATGATATATTTAAACTTATATTTCATTCAAAAATAAAAACTTTCTCAAAACTTCCAAAAACCATATAATAACAATATAAATAAATAATAAAATACAGCATTAAAATTAAAATATATTCCGCTTATATTATACAACCACCTCCTAGTTTTTAATAATATGCAACCACAGACATTGACTATTTTCACAAAAGACCCTCAACTTTTAAAAACTTTCAAAATAAGCCCCTATCATTTAGAAATGTGTCATTTAACAAAGAAGGCTCCAAGATTGTTCTGTCCCAAATGTGAACTCCATCAGTTGCATAACTTGACTTCTATCCCCTTGGTCCTATCAAAAATCATAACAACAATATCCAAAAACCATAAATCCATAAAACTCTCTTTTAGCCCATAAAAGAATTACAACATAACAACATCCACAAAACAAAAATCCTCAGATTCACCAAAAACATTTTGACCATGTGACAGATGGTATGAATCCTATGTAAAAATGGCATTGCCAAATGCAAACAGTGAGTTCAAACGGTCGCTCAAGCGATCATTCCTTCCACATGTCTGCAAACTCATCCGTCTCGAGTGGGTTACTCATCTCATGCATTTTCCTTCTTGTCTTTGCTTTAACCTTCTTTGCATACTTGCCCGCCTTCTGTCTCTTCTCCAACGAACGTATCTGACCATAATTAAACCATAAATCCATATGCATACTTCCCACTTATTGTTGACCTCTTTACACAAATCGAAGGATGCCCAGATAGTGTTTTTAACATATGAAACGAAAAAAATCGTTCTAACCTGATTTGGTGAGACGTAGAACGGATTCTCGTATAGCGTTGGGCCTCCGAAGCTACCACCAAATATCTTGATTGGATTTAAACAAAATCTTGGGCCAACCTGTCCATTTAACACTTGTATAAATATCTCTAGATATATAACCTCCAAAGAACTTGTAACGTATCTCATTAAAGAGTTCACGACTTCAAACCTCAATAAGAGTCATCTTTTCCAGGCCTCCACGATCAATTTTATCTGCTCCGGTATGAGGACATGATATCTGGTACATAAAATAAACAAAGATACTAATTAGACTACATTTAAGATACCTCGGTACTTGTAAATAGAATCTGGAAAACAACACCCGAGAAGGTAACTCTTACAAAAAAAAAGAACAATGAAACATTTGCAAGATGATCGATCAGAGTAAGATGAAAATTTGACATGACAGTGGTGAAATATTAAACTTCAAGAGGTATATTCAGTTTTTCACGATGGTTACTAAATTGGAGATCGTGTGTCGTATGAAATAATACACCCATAAGAATACATTTATCATTCTCGGATAAAGGTAACAGAAGCAAATAGATTTAAGGTGATATTTTAGCAATATGGAGGTTATCTTCATCACCAACCTGGTAATTACGGAACCATATGTGGTCATCAACAATTGAGAAGACAAAGACATGATCATGGTAAGGTTTTGATTTCCTGTGCTCCTTGGGAGTTCCAAATATCTGTTCAAACACAAAGGAACACCAAATAGCGTTGGCATTTTGATAAAGAGGAAGAGTGTGATGTTTTCAACATCAAACAGAATCGACCTTAGGATATGTGTGTGTGTGTACAATTATAACTTAAACCTACTAGCTCATAATAAATTTCACCAAGAGATTGCAAATTAATGACAAGTAAAATAGATGGCACTAATAATGCAGAGATCATATTCAAAACACTAAAAAGAAAAACAAAGAAATGATCACCAAACAGTGATAAAATTATGCATGCAATTAGGTGTAAAATTTTGGACAGCATCAAGACATTGCCAAAATGTATGCTTTGTTCAATAATAAAACTAGCAGCACCTATTGAGTTGGCCTAACTTGTGGATTTATATCATCCAAGTATTTTAATGTTCCAGACTTCTATCAATAGTAATTTTTTACACATAAAAAAGGGTAGTTATAGATAGGATGACAGAATTCACATAAATAATACAAAAAGGAACATTGGGCAAAGCATTTATTTAATATCACGAAAAGGACTATATACCTGAATAATCATTTCTTTCAAAAGTTTCCAGTGTGGGTCTTTATCAAAATTTGATGAAAATGTGAGAAGTGGACGGGAACCTTTAAGATGATTTCCGGTGAGCTTTAACTCTTCCATTGTGTGAACTAAAAAACATAGAGCAAATCGACAAACATTAAGAACCACAACCCATATTGTCTCGTTTGCAACTGGTCAGAACCATTTTTGGTTGACATAATTGGCATTAATAATTTAATTAAGAATATTGGTAAAGCAGTTCAACAAGATCACCTGCATTAACTAAAAACTTTACAGATGGACCATTCGGGCACTTGGACATCCACAAGTAAAGGTCTTTGTGCTTCCTGCACTGTAAATGGAAATGAGGGCATCAAACATGAGTTAACAACAAAGAACAAGAGATAAATCTAATACATATATATATATATATATATATTCAAACAAGCCTCATTCATAAAGCACCCACAAAAAATTATACAACCAACACTTTATTGAAAATCTAACTTAAATGGACACTTACACGTTACTTATCTAAATGAACCATCAAAGAACCATGCAATGATAAGATAATCTCCATGAATAGTCTCAGTTATTAGACCCATATGCTATAATATTCTGGACGCCCCTAATAAAAAGTACATAAAAACTTTAGATAAACATGATACAAATAGGCAATGCAGACAACAATCACCTATTTTTTTGAAAAGATAATGCATTTGAGAGCAATCGATCACTAGACCTCCACAACCATGCTTCTTGCATCGAATCATTGTTCTACATTTCAATTTTTAAACCATTTTACATCAAAGAAACGAGGCAGTCAAAAGTTCTTGATCTCACAAAAATAACTTGTCAAGTATTATTCCAGATTGTTGGGTGATCTCGGATTGTCTAGATGGTTTCAATTTTGAAAACGGTACATTATACATGTGACAAATTAACGCATCTACTGGCAAGCAAATCACGCCGACTAAGAACTTATAAAGCAGGCCAAAGCCAAAACCACTAACAATATGACCGACTGGTATAAAAAGGAAGGTCAAAATATAGCCATGTGGAGAGAACAAGACTAATGGGGCGTTTGGTTCACATAATTTTTTTTTGAAGGAATGAAATCTGTCAAATGAGTTGGGATTTGAGAGTTTGGAATGGAATTGAATCTAGTTAGACCATGTGTTTGGTTAACACAAATTAAAAGGGAATTCAATTTCATCCAGTTTGAACATTCTATTTCATAGCAGAACAGCTTTGAATAGGAATGTAAATAATGATAAATGACAAAATTACCCTACATTATTTAATATCGTTTATTATTTGAAATAATAATAATAACAATAAGGGTTTTGATTTGTTGAAGAACAATTCTGTCTTCGAACACTAAAGTAAGGAAATGGAATTTAACAAAATGCTATGGAACAATGAATTCATCCCAATTTCCCACTGGTGGAATTTGGGGCTCCTATGGAATCAAATTCCTTTCCTTTGTGTGAACCAAACATGACAAGAAAATGAAGTCAAATGAATTGATCATTCCAATCCAACTCCTTCAGACTCCAGCGGATTCTGTGAACCAAACAGGCTGTAATGCTTTTTGCAGAACATCATATGCCACTCAAAGGGCAAGCTAGCAAGCTTAGAGGCACAAATGGGATGAGTGAACGGTGAAGACAACCACAAACGAGTTGGTTCAGCAACTCTGAGTTATTAAAATAAGATGCCACACTCAGCAACACCTGAAGGGATCTATGAACCTTCTTTATGTCATCTCCTGGAGGAACAAAATATTTATCTTATGTTGTTACCAAGCCCAGAGGGCTATGCCTTAGTGCCAAAAGAACATATTTTTTGCTAAGAAAACCACTCACACACACACTCTTACCTAGCCATCCTGCTCAACATCCACCATAATTATAACAGTTGTTTGAATTTAATGCCCAACCTAGTTCTGTTAAATTACATGGTTTAAGCTGCAAAATTGCACTTATAATATTACACTTGTTAAAAAGATTGAAGATTCTTGCATCCTTTCTAAAAAACATAAATCTACGCCACTTTAGAAGGAAAAAACAATGGTTCGCTATGTAGCTTCTATTTTATTAGCAAGTATGGCCTCACGGTAGAAGAAAATCAAGCTTTTCAGGCTCATCTCACAAGAATACAAGACACCATCTGATTAACATATAGAACAAGACATCAAAAACATGTAAACAGAACAATAAAATCGATAACACCGACCTCAAAAAAGAGACAGGAAGAACAGCTCTTAAGTTCAACAAGCTCATTTAGAGTTGCTCCTTTGGTAGCCTTGGATTCAACTTTATTATCTTTCTTACAATGAGGCAAGATCGATACCAAATTCAACATCAAATGCCGATACCTAAAAACGAAACAAACGTCAATTCAAACAAATTACTAACAAAAATTCCAGCAAACGGCGGTACATTCAATTCAGTAACATCATATACTGTTTAAAACAAACAAACAAGAGAGTAACCTGTAATTAATTCGACGAGAGCAAGTGACGAGAACTTTCTCTTTGTTTCTAAAACCTGTAAAGGTTGTAGAGTCTTGTTGGTTTTCAGGCTTATCTTTCCAACCCAAAAGAGTACGTTTAGGTCTCTCCGGCGCCGTTTCCTCCTTCTTTGCCGCCGGCACCTCTACTTCACTGTGTTTTCGCTTCTTCCCCATTTCGTGTTGAGAGTGAGTGAGAGAGAGAGGGGACTCTTGCTTCGTTAAGGAAACGCAAAACCCTAGAAGAGACGTTCGGGCAGGGTAAGGGTTTAAGAATCAACGGGTCATGGGCTTATGGATCAGAATTTTGTTATGGGTTACATTTGTAATGGGCCTTTCGGCCCATGTTTACTATACATATTTAAGTCAATATTATTTTTCAAAAATTGATAAAATGACTATTATATCCTTTTAATTCAATTTCAAATTCTAAATACTATTAAATAAAAAAAATAACGTAAATTCATAGGTATTGCTTGACCAAAAGCATAATGAATTATAAATACAAGAATTGGTTGTTCTTATAAGTCAAATTGCATGAAAAAGTAACGTATTTTAATTTGATTTCTATTATATGTAATGTACTTTCAGAAATTTCGTTTTGGTATTTAAGATGTAAAGTTTTAAGCATTTCAGTACCAGGGTAACCGTTTGAAGACTAATTTTTAGTTAAAAATTATTAAATTTAAATTAAAAAAATCTATGTCACTAACCATGTCAACAAAAAATACTGAGTTGGATATTACATCATTCGATACATCAGCATGATAATCGGTTAATCCTTCAACCGGGTATTTATTTTGATCGAGTTTGAATATTGTATGCATTCACATATTTCGTAATAGTTGATATTGTTACACCATATAATAGACAAGGTTTATAATTTCTAGTTAGTTATGATATATAAATATATCGTTTCAAATACAATTCATCATATTTGTACAACCAATGCAACCCAATAAATTGATATGTTTATGGAAATTATAAGAGTTCATTTATTATGATTTGAATATTTATGGAAGATGAATAAAATTCATTAATTATGATCAATACTTTATATTAGAAAACAATCAAAACTTTTATGAAATCGTATATTCATCAAATTAAATGGATGGTTGAGATTGAGTTGTATTGGTTGTACAAATGTAAATGATTGTATAATAACCCACCTATATATATATATATATAGAGAGAGAGAGAGAGAGAGAGAGAGAGAGTGTGTGTGTGTGTGTATGCGCGCGCATGTGAGGTTCATACGAGAACAGTAACCAAATAAGAGAATAAGAAAACGACTGATTCACGTGTAAATCATATTGATTCACGCAACTTTGGCCATTACCTGAGGTCGTAGACCACGTCACTCGCACACCTTTGTGTTGACCGCTATTAATTTGAGAAAGGTGTTATTCTCGTACTATTTTTCTATTATTTAAGTTATTGTGTTTTTTTAATATAAACAGGAAGCTTAAAATTCAAGTCACGTGCATGATAAAAATTACACAAAGCTCTTTAATAAAAGATGTTGAAATTTTCATCATTTCAGATACAATTTTCAATATTTTCTCAACAAAAGAAGAAGGCGAGTGATTTTTTTTATTGAAACTAGACTAAATTTACGTCACAAAACTTGTCAACTGCACCAAATTCTACGTTCGGTTGCAACCGAACCTTCCTTCTTCATCAATGGCGAATTGAATTTAAGCCAACCCCACAAGTTTCTCGCTTATCTCCCACACCTTACGAGCCTTGGCCACATCACTTGCTTCTTCGGACAATTGATTCTCGAACGAAGCCGAGTCCTTGTTCCAGCTCCAGTATACACCAGACTTCGTCAAGCTTGGGTCACTCACAACCTACACCATATCTTTGTTACTAAGTTATAGAACTGCTAAAAAACGACGAGCACTCTTTAAAGCTTGAACAATCTTTAATTACTACAACGAAACGAGTGTTTTTAGAACGCACAACCATCACTGGTTATCCTAATAAAAACTTTATTTGATCAAAAACTGTTACAATAAATTGTTAGGACGAAGTTTATTAGATCTAACAAGTTGTATCAACTAGTCTCAAAAACCCGAGCAAACCAACCCAACCCAACCCAACACGAATAACTCAATCTGAAGCAACCCAATATCTAATCGAGTTGTAAAATTTTCAAACCGTAGGTATTGGGTTGAAATTGGGTTACTATTATTTGAACTCAATCCACAACCCAATATCTTTGTACTTCTTAGATTTAATATGATTGTTAAGATCCTATTAATACATACATTAGACAATTAAACTATCGCGTATCCTCTTCATATATGCATTTTTTCAATTTATTCTCTATCTTTATATAACTCATTCGTATATATGTTCAGTAATTGTAAACATATATATGTAAATTGAGAAAATTAATTGAACATGGTATACGTAAGATTTAAGAAGTATGGATAAGTTGTAGCAAATGGTTAATAATGAAAAATAAATTATGGATAGAGAAATAACACATTCAAGGTTAGAAGAATATTTTAATGTACCAAAGTATCAACCGACCGACTCGAACGGTTTGGTTTGAGTTAAGTTAAGATTTTTTAAACCTACCCAATTTTGAAAAATTTGTTCGGGAGATGCTTTAAAAACCAGTTGTAGTTACAAACCTGTGCAAGTCTCTTGCCGGATTCTTCTTCGGAGACGTACCCTTTAGTGATGAACTTCTGGAATGGAGGAAACAGTAGCCGGAAAAGTGGAATGTGTTCCCGGAACAAGCCGGTGGTGGCGATGCAGCCGGGATACAATGAAGCAAACGTGATGCCGGTTTCTTCATGATATCGCCGGTGAAACTCCTGCATGGTAAGCATATTACACACCTTGCTATCTTTATACGCTTTTGCACCATCAAAATCTCCGCCGTCGATCATGGCGGAGCTGTTTAGCCCATTCAAACCTCCGGCGAGACCCCTCATATCCCCTAAGTTCGCCTTCGGAGGTACATTTCCGGCCAAAGTGTTGGTGTTTCCGGTGATTGATCCAACGATAATGAGTCTCTTTGATGGGTAATCAGATTGCTTCAAATCATCAAGCAATAATCTTGAAAGAAGAAAGTGACCAAGATGATTGGTTCCGACGCTAAGCTCGATTCCGTCGGCGGTGAAGGTGGGTTCTTTAGCCGTCGGCTGGTACACGGCGGCGTTGCAGACTAACACATCGAGTGGTCTGCCGGATTGTTTGAAGTTTCTGACGAATTGCCGGACGCTTTCCAAAGACGAAAGGTCTAAATGCATCACTGTGTAATTCTCTTTCGACATTCCGGCGGATTTTGCGGCTCTTTCGGCTTTAAGAAAGTCTCTGCAAGCCATAATCACATGCCATTTTCCGGTTTCCGACAAAGCTTTCGCCGTCGCTAGACCCAAACCGGAGGAAGCTCCGGTGATGATGACACTTCCTTTTCTCAATGTTTTCTTCCCCTCCGGTGCTGTCCAGATCACCGCCGGAGCTGTGGTGGCTACGGCTTGGGTTCTGAACGCCCTTCTTCGAGTAAATTCCATCTGCAATAATCAAAATATCAAATGGTAACTCATCATTTACTGGATCCTCTAAACGTTCTAATAGAATACTTTATAATACTTTGGTTTATAGGACCAAAATCACTGTTCCAAAGGGCTCCTCGCAACGGCCGCAATGATGCACCGTTTTTCAAGACTTGTATCTCACGCCATGTTAAGCATACGTTACACCATGACATAATACAAGGTTTATGTGACACTGACATTGATTTTACTTACCTTTTTCACGTCTTATTTATTAGTTTCTAATGTATATATAAATATCATTATACATTGAGTAACAGTAGAAAACATATACTTATATATTTAATATTATATATGACACAGAGATTTGCCGTCATATATCATGTCTTAGAAAACTCCGTGACCTCGTTGTGACTTCTAAGGCTTGAGGTTTGGCCTCGTGGTATTTAGAACCTTGATCAAAATGTAGAACATCGTATCTAAAAACATTACAATAGGTTTATTGGACGTTTTTAGGTGTTTTAACAAGTTTTTAGAACGTTTTTTAAAATAAAGTGTCGTATTAGCTATTTTATACGACACTTTTGAGTTTTGACAAGTGTTCTTAAACCTGTCTGGTTATATGACATTTATGTTTATAAGACACTTTTTCAAATAGTGTTATATACAATAGTTAATACAACACTTTGTTTTATAAACATTTTAAATAATTTATTAAAACACCTAAAAACATCCTATAAATTTATTATAACACTTTTAGATATGTCGTTTTTTGGTTTGTTTAAGTAACAGACTCGTTCCTGACATTTTATGGGTCCTGGACGAACAAAAAAACAAGGCCCAATGTAAGAAAGAAGGCTTTTAGCAACAACTTTTGTCGTCGCTAAAAGTTAATTTATGATCAGAAAGATTATATAACATGTTGTCATTATAACTTGTGCCGGAAACATGTCATCGCTAAAAGGGACATCGTCAAAGTTCATTTTTTCTTGTTTGTGACCCTCAGTAAGTACGAAAATAAATTCAATAAATGTTTTTCATTAATATAAAATTGAGTACAAGAAATACTAATAATTTACTGAACAAAGAATTCATATTTATCTTTATTATAGATATATAAAAAGAGTACTTAAACTTACGTACTTCTTATTAGGTAATTTGAAGCCTAGAGTATAAAAACTATGGTTGATATTGTAGATTATAAAAAGTAACAATCTTTTTAGTTCATAACAAGAAATATGTCTTATTTTGACATAAAAAAAAAGAATTCGTGTGAATGAAGTAATCGTGAGCGTCAACGAGAGATCAATAGTAAAGAAGATTATCAAGGTTTTCTAGACAAGTAAACAAATGAGAATCAATAAGAATATAAAATAAAAGATTATCCATTGAGAACTAATAAAATAAATAATGAATTAAACATATAATATGCAAGCTCAACAAATGATTGTTTGAGCATTTAAATAGAATTTTGTGTTGTTATGGAATCCCAATGAAAGATACATAAGTCAAACAATTGATGAAAACATTTAAATTCTATTTTCTTTTCTTTTTTGCTCAACTAAAATAAGATGTTAAGATTAAAAATTTATGTAACATGACATATATAAGAAATATTACTAAATACACCTGGTAGAAAAAAAATATTGATTAATTACAAAATCATGAAACAAGTCACAAATTATAAGAACAATAGATTGATTAAAGATTTCTTTACACACCTTGGTTCTTGAAGATGATGAAGTAAAATCAAGTTTGCGGTGGTCGGAGAGTGAAACCCCAAAGAGGCCGGAATCCATGGAAGAGCCGGCGGTCTTCGCCGGCAAGTTTACAAGATTGTGAAGGGAGAAAGAGGTCGCCTGAAGAGCCATTGCCGATCGAGTGGAATTCGAAGTGGGGTTTGGAGGGAAAGGGAATTGGTGTGATGTTGAGCAATTAATGCGGACATTTATAGCGGTGAAGGCGGTGGGTTTTTACCATTTTTGGTAATTGGAGTGGATAATTTAACGTTTGCAGGAACCAATCAGAAAAGGAGATTCAGATTGCAGCACATGCCATTGAAAGTGGGGCTAAAAGGATTAAATTAAGGTGCATTCCCCAAAGCATATGTTTCTCTCTGCCTCCAAAGTTATGGGTTTTGGAATGGGAGATCAAACAAAGGATAAAATACATTCTTTTCAAACATGTGTAAGCACACTAATATTTGGCATTTACTGAGTGATTTGGTACAGAATGATTAAGTGGTTTTCATTATATAGTGTAAAATAAAATATAATTGTTTGGTAATTGTTTACAATGAAATTAGTGTACTTGGGTTAAAAAAGACCTATGATACAAAATCATTCAGAGGGTTTTAGAACCATTAAGAAGCAGACTTTTTTTTTCATCAAACAAGATTCACCTCTTAACGATTCAGAGGTAAACAAACAACCCGTCGTATGCGAGTATTTGACTTTCTAGTAGGTCATGAGTTTAAATTTCAACAAAGATGAAAAATGTGTGTGAGTTTATTTGTCGTATATAAATATTATATTTCAAAAATGAAATAGGTTAAATTATATAAGGTTCGGTAATTTTGTAGTATATCAAACCATTCAACGTCTGTATTGACCGAATTAGTTTAACTGGTACCAATTTAATTGATATCAATTATATTTGGTTGGTAGTATCAACCAACATGTACCAACCGAAAAAAGTTGGTATCAAATACTATTGGTTGATATGCATTGTAAGGTTTTACATGTCAGTTTTAATTGGTTGATACATGGTATTGGAGAAAAAAACTTGGTACCTTGCCAAGTCGAACCCTTATTATACAATTAAAAACAGAGGAGGACCTACCTTTAAGGGTGTAGTTTGATTGATTTGAGTTTGGACTCCAAAGATCAAAAGTGTCTGGAGGTCTCAGGTTCAAATCCAATGAGAAATAAAAATCCCCTTATGGCCACGAAAGTTCAAATACGATGACTCGGGGATCTGTATACACAATCAAGAATTCATTCATTTCCACCAACACAAAATAAGTTAAAAAGACTGAATACACAAGAATTGAATCGTGAAAATACAAATCAATATCTCCAAGTCTACAATTCATCTAAACTCCCACCGTATTCTCTTCTTTTCTTTTTCTTTTTTCTTTTTTGTTATTTTTCTTGACGATTCTATTTTTTACCTACTCGATCCAACGGGCTCCTTCATCGGTTCCGTATTCGAACGGGCAGAAGTCGCACAAAAACAAAACGATACTCTCCTGCTAATATTACAAATCGTCGAACCTATCTGTACAACCATCCACAACACCAATGGTTCCAACCCTTCTTATATCCGAACCGGCATTCCAAAATTCTGGAATGTTCTAATCTCCCCACGTAATCCAGCCGTCACGATCACCATTCCCCACGCTGACTTTCCCGGGCTCATCCCGTTTGTATAGTCAACGCTGGTCCGAGGACTCCGGTTCTTAGTAGCCAGAACCAGCTTTTCCTCGGGCCATGTGGCCGAGATCCTATCGAAGAAGTAGCCATTGCTGGCACTAGAGATGGTTCCATGAAGTGGGCTGTTGCTACAACCAGAAGTTAACGGGGACCCGTCTTTTCCGTTAGTTTTGTCTTCAGGTGTCGGAGGATGGTTGGCGGTGGACACCTCGTCCAAGTGGTCCCCACTTAGCCTATTCGGTTCACCGGAAAACCCATCTTGGAAACCCCAACAGGTGTCGTTTATACCAGGCCAAGGGATAGCCATTGATACATCTTGACAGTGGAAGTGCTCGTACGACTGAGTAACGGTGACGCTTTTGTTTCTACTAGCACGGGAATCACCTTCGTGTTTCCAGACGTAGACTTGAGAATCCTCGCTAGCACAAACCACGTATCTTCCGTTTGCAGCCAGATAGGCGGAGATTTGGCTGTTTGTGTTGCGAAATCCTGTAACAGAGCCAGCACCACCTTCATTATAAACAATCTAAGAGGTTGCCCAACTAACAGCAAGCAGACATGTATATACTTCAGGGTTATAATGGTAATTTTTTTGTCTGTAAGCACTTATTCAAAGTATGGCATTGTTTTCTTTTCCATTCAACGCTAAATCATATTTCATTAACATTTAGTTATATAGAAGGTTAGGGTAAGTTTGAAGGGAAAACTGCAAAAAAAATGAAAAACTGAGGAACACCCTAGTAACCATTCATCTGTATAGTATGCACATGTGAATACAAGTAAATTCTAAGTAATTTTTCCAATATGCACATGTGCATAGAAACTAGGAAACATCTTAAATTACTTGTATGCACATGTGCATACCGTACAAATGAACGTTTATTAGGATGTTTCTCAATTTTTCATTATTTGAGGGGAGGGGGTTCCCATGAACCTCACTCTAGAAGGTTATACTGGTAATATATAATCGGTACGGAACACTTGGTAAACAACCATTTTCAGTCGGACAGGAGCTGAACAGGTGAGAGTGAGGTAGGTGGGTAAAAATGTACAAAGTTTTAGCATTTATATTTGACATTGATAGTTTAGTAATTTACCAATCTTTTCCATCTCCCTGAATTATTGTTCCACCTACTTTGGTGGAATAAAAAAAGTCCTATCATACTAATGTCGCTCCAAACATGGGAAAACAAGTTTTTGTTCTGTCATGTCTCATGTACCAAACGCACCCCAGTTAGGGCATGTTTGTTAGCCACTTAATGAGCTTAATAGGACTCGCAGCTTATTCGGACAGCTATACATGACCGTTTGGTAGTGGCTTAATGATATAAAAAGTGGCTTATCAGTARG